ATAGATGTCTTGCCTGCTGTTTTGCTCGTTTTCATACTCTCTCTCACTGCTTTCTCTAAACTTTCGCCCGGTACCCACATCAGTTCTTTACCTCTCGCTCAGCAGAAAGTGAGGGCCTTATTCAGAACGTTGTCAACAGTAACCTCTTTTTTTCGTGAGCAACTCAACTACCACGTACATTTCTGTTTCCAACCCCGCCATCAACGAGCTTTTCACTGGCTCATTGCGAATTCTGCCTTTAATGGCAAACTTATCTACTGGACTTTAGAGTAAAACAGCATTCAACTGTGAACACAGGATTAGAGCCTTAAATCCATATCCTAATTTGGTGGGTTTACCGGAACTGGTGCCCAACGTACACCCGTACGCAATTGTTGGTCGAACATCTTACCGACTCAGGTCAACCAGTTTTCAACCCTTTTGGGTGATTAGATTACAAGGCTTGTTGGGAGGAACGTGGAGGATGATAAAAACAGTAATCTGCCTATCAGCCGGCACATTATTGTTTGGGACGACATGCTTTCCAGGACACGAGGCACGATATCGCGCGCGAACTAGATAGTATTCCTAGTTAGTTGACTCGTCCCAGTAGTTTACCGTCAAATTTATGCGTACGGAAGCCCACATCTCGTAATCTCGTTTCATGCCGTTCACTAAATCTTGAGGTAAGTTGCAGCTGCCGTAGCTAGCTTGATGTGCTGCTGATGGGCTCTGTAAGATCAACGTTGAAGGCAGTTGGCACGATGAATCTCTGACGAGTAGGATTGATACGCGTGGCAGGACGGAATTCCGCTACCTGAACAGGGCCATTTTCCATTGTATGAGGCCCTATCAAGCTACAACATACCGACCCGACGCCCACCACGCCCGCCCGCCCACAAATGGACGACCGTACCTGATGCTCGTATTGCTTCATTTGCTAAGTAAAATATGAAGCGAAGGGATTGGTATGAAGCGGCTGCGGTGCTGCATGGATTAATGAGTACATACGTGCAGCCGTACTTACCGCAGCGGCTGTTGTCAAGATGACTACGGGGAACTCGTCCAAAATTGCTTTTCGAATTAAGAACGAAGGCTTCTCTTCGCAAGTTTCTAATCGTTTCACTCCGTTTTTTGCCATTTTTCCTGCTATACAGCTCCCTGCTAGCATTTGAGGCCAAGTACCAAATCGTGACGACTGCCTTTAAGCCTTTAGGAATGCTGACATTAGCGCCATACCGTGCCTCGGATGTCTTGAATTACACTCCCTTTAGCAAAATACATTCGAAAGACACTGCTCTTCCAAAAGGGGGTAGAGTGCGTGGCGCATCTCCAGAGAGTGTCGACCACTGCCGAGTGATCTTTTTGATCTACCCAGGTGAAAGCGCGCTTTTCCCCCTCTATATTCGAGTAATTTACGTTCCGTGTTACCTCATTTTTCATTCCGATTTCATCTAGGGCCCAAATTTTCAATCCCATCCTCCTGTTGACTACTACGTATCGTGGGGTCCGTGGGCCATCTTTTTTTCACAGCAATGAAATCTAATTTAATTCAGCGCTACTGCACATCAGTTATCATATCACATCTATTTATTACTTAATTTATGTCGCTCTTATCGTGATTTACACGACCGAACACTTGCGATTTCGGGTTTCTTCAAAAGACCCCGAAATAGTGCAAACAATCAAATAATGAACGTTAAAGCACAAAAGATTTATGGATAACTTACTTTTTACATTGAACATACAGCTAATAACCATGTACAATAGTTCAAATTCATTTGGCATCAATCGCTTGAATGGGTACGTAACTAGTTCGCGAAAAAGATCCTGAGAAGGCTTCAGTAACCTGAAATCAAGCGAGCAATGCAATCGGGTCGAAAAAGCTATCATGGAAATTTATTCCTGCTCAAAAATGGAAGAGGGAAGAGTGACATTTTTAAGAACTCGGACCCTCGCTGTAATTGAGTGGAATCCTATTTTCTTTCCGTAAAGTTTTCAGAAACACTTTTTCTCCCTGACATAGTCCTCCGCATGGGTTATCCTCTTCCAATTTGACTTATTGATTGGGTTTCCTGATCTCTTGTTCTGGGATACAAGTGTCAAGCATGCTTATGATTGGCTGATTGTTCGAATCAACCAGTCATTAGCAAGTGCGGCACTATTTACGCTTCCTCTCAACCAGTTGTGACTGCCTCTTTCGTCAAAATTCACTCCTGAGCGTTTTTCGCGAGGTTAGAGTTGGCTGTGACTTTGTCCCCTAGCTTGA